TCTATTATTTTTAAAATAAAATTTGAATTTATACTTTCATTAATTTCGACATTTTTCATCACCTTTGATGCTTTCATCACTTTTGTCACTTTCGGCAAAAGTACTTATCATTTGCCGAAATACTTTCTACCCTCCAAAATACTTTCGGCACCCAACCTTGGGGGTGTTGGTTAATAAGTTTTAGAGGGTTCACTAAAGTCTATTTTACAGAAATTTTTAATATTCGTGAAGAATTTTATGTAGGTGGGATTCAGCAAAAACTAAAAGGTATTTTATTAATGATTGTTTTATATTTCTGACTTTATATTGATTAAAGTTTCATTAATGATTGTTATGAATATCCATCAATCAGTAGTTGTTATAGTAACATTAAACAATAATGTGCAAACGACGACAACCAATCATCTTTTTTGAGGATTATAATAAAGATTAAGATCCAGTTTGTATAGGAGTGATCAAAGTAAGCGTTAAGGACAAGATTTATGAACAAAACATACTAACAAATGTTTTATCAATTATTCAATAGTTTGTGTAGGAGTAATCGAAGTAAGCCTTAAGGACAAGATCTATGAACAAAATATACTAACAATAGTTTGTGTAGGAGTAATCGAAGTAAGCCTTAAGGACAAGATCTATGAACAAAATATACCAACAATAGTTTGTATAGGAATGATCGAAGTAAACATTAAGGGAACAAAATATACTAACAAAAGTTTTATCAATTATTCAATGGTTTGTATAGGAGTGATCGGAGTAGCATTAAGTCAAGGTTTATGAACAAAACATACTAACGAATGTTTATCAATTATTCAATAGTTTGTGTAGGAGTAATCGAGTAAGCATTAAAACAACATCTATGAACAAAATATACCAACAATAGTTTGTATAGGAGTGATCGAAGTAAGCATTAAGGACAAGATCTATGAACAAAACATGCCAACAAACATTTTATCAATTATTCAATAGTTTGTATAGGAGTGATCGAAGTAAGCATTAAAGACAAGATCTATGAACAAAATATACCAACAATAGTTTGTATAGGAGTGATCGAAGTAAGCGTTAAAGACAAGATCTATGAACAAAATATACCAACAATAGTTTGTATAGGAGTGATCGAAGTAAGCATTAAGAACAAGATCTATGAACAAAATATACTAACAAACGTTTTATCAATTATTCAATAGTTTGTATAGAGTGATCGAAGTAAGGATTAAGGACAAGATATATAAAGCTTGCAAAGCAAGTTTCACAAAAATGAACGTTTTATCAATCATTCAATAGTTATGTTTATTATTTATTTTTGTATATAAATTTCTTTTTTATTTTAACTTATATTTAATAACATCACCATGATAAATAATTAAATGAATAAAATCAGAGATAAAACGCCTTTAATTCAATCATCATTGTTGCTTGTTTATTATTCTAATCATTATTTATGTATATAGGTAAAGAAAATTTAAATTCTATTTATTTATTATATTTACTTTTAAAATAAATGCTTATACTATAAGCGACATACCTAAATGATCAAAAATCTGTAAATATTCATAATAATGTAATATTTGGACGCTTATACTTGCAATTGGACGTGTCAAACAAAATTTTGCACATATGAATATAAAGGCAAAATTTGACTTTGAGGGTCAGATTATTTTCGGTTTTATTAACAACCTGCCTTAAAAATTTTCTTAAAGCAGATACATATGATAAATTATATCTCAAATTTGGTGGTGGTTGCTACACAGCAAGGGTATCAAACAAGGGTGTGAAGCATTCGATTATAAAATTTTACTATTTATATATATATGTTTTACAACTATAGATCGGCGGGAAATGTCCTGTGTGTTGCAAAAATTATTGGCCGGAAAAAAACTGTATTATTTAATAAAATCGAGGATTTTGCCATAAACCAACCAAAATCGTGAATTTGATAACGTAGAAATAAATATTAATATGGGTTTGATTCATTTTGTCAACAATCACTTCACCAGCAATTATTTCGTTAACGAATTTAAAAAGTTGGGGAGAGCGTGTTTTAATTGGTGATAATTATTTTTGTTTTGTGTGGATGAATAGGGATCGACGAATTGATTTTGGTATTAGCGAATAATTTTGTTTAAATATAAAGAAGATAACAGTTTAAATAAAATATATTTTTTTTTTTATTTGGTTTTCTTAGTCGAAACTAATTAACTTATGACAAAGTTACTTTTACATTAGGTCGAAATCAAGTTCTTTATATACATGTTCTTTACATATTAGCGATTTCGCCTAGTCTGAGATAATCGTCATTAATCTGTACTAATAAAGTTAAATAACAATAAATACGGATTAATTAAATTAACACGAATTCAGATAATAATAATTATGCACGTTATTAATAAATAAATTGAATTAATAAAAATAAATATAATAAAAATAAAATAATAATAGATTAAATAATAATAAAAATAAAAATAAAAATAGAAATAAAATTTAATTTGACCCGAAATTAAAGGATTCGGCCAAATTATCTTCGCCATCGTCTAATTCTGGTAACAGAAGCAACCATGCGGCAAACCATTGAAACAGTCTAATAAATTAAATCGTAATACTCGAAAATGTATTTAAAGGGTTGGTTTTTGACTTGGTTGAAGAATAACTCTCTTCCTAACTCTTTTCTCTTGATATAATCAAAATAACCTTAACATACCGAATGTCAATGAAATGATCGTAAACACAACGAAATTAAGATACATGATCGAGATGAAAAATGAACAACACATGAAAAATCAAACAAATATTACATAAAACAACACCTTCTGTTCACGTTACCCTCACTAAGTTGTTGTTCTCAGCTTCTTTCCATTTATTGCCTTTCAATTGACGAAATTTAGCTGATTTAATGGGTGCCTTCAAAAATTATTATATTGAGATTGAGGTTGGATTGAAATTGAAATTTTCAATCCATGATCAAAAATTATTATATCAAGATGATCGACAATTATTAATTAAAAATGGAATTTTTACGTCTCTTTTATTAATCATCAAAGAAATGAATTGGACCTTGAACTTACAAATACCAATGCTAATTATTTTAGCATTGATGTCTTTGTTTTTTGGGTACTTCAATATTTTCCATTTTTCTTTAAAAAAAATTTTTTTTATTTTTATTTTTATTTTTTATTTATTTATTTTGTTTATTTTTTTTCATATTAAAATTCGATCGCAATCTCAATATGGAAATAGAGAGTTGTTGAATTGAAAATAATTTTGTTCGATTGATAAATACAAACAGTTTATATATCAATCAAAAAAATAACTAACTCGCTTAAAGGGAAGAAGGATCACAATCAAAAATCACAATCGAAAAAAATGACTAATTCGCGAACGGAACAAAAACTTTGCAACGGCACATTCATTCATTGACCGAATGTGATTTTTATTACGCGACGACTGTATTTACTTAATAATCGTACACTTTAGTACTAGCGCAATTTTTATTTGTTGTATATATATAGATAAACTACTTTGTTTGCGACATTTATTTATTATTATTATTTTATTATTGTACGTTATTTTTTAGTTATTATCGCAATTGACTATTTCTGGAGTTAGTTGGTCAAGGGTTAGACCGCAGCAAACAAAAGAAAAGAAACCTCTCCGATAGATGGACGTGGCAGATAAAGAAAATAAAAAATAAAAAAATAAAACCAAAAAGGTAAGGAAGGAAAAATCAATTTTTTTAACATCAGATGAACGAATAGTGAAAATAATTAGTAATTAGTAATAAATAGTATATAAATTAATAAAATAAATAAATAAAAATAATACATTAATTAACGATATGTATAACGTCAATCATTTCAGAGTAAAAAAAAAAATTTTAACTAAATCAAAGAAACGTCTCATTTTTTTCATCTCATGCTTCCCAAAAAATTGTGTTTAGTAAAAATTGATTTTTTTATCAGCTCAATGCTCACTCGATCTGTTCGATCAGTTCGTTCGTTCGCTCATGTATAATGATCACTCTTCTACAACGTCTTATTTCCCTATTACTATTTACAAATATAGGCAACAACAAATTTAAAAAATAGTAGATCAAAACCAAAATCATAGAATCTATCCCAAGTAAGGAAAAAAGCAGTGTTACGGGATTTGAGCAATCTTTTATAAGTGTTAATGATTTCAGTAACTAAAATATGTTTTACCATCAAATAAAATACGTTTTACCATTAAATAAAATACACCATTAAATAAAATATGTATTATTTCCGTGCATTTTCCGTAGCCAAAAAAAAACGTACCTTTATCGAAATTTCCGTACAAATTCATCACGAATTCTTTATAAGTTCCTTATGTATTACGTGCATATCATGTGCATATTCCGCACATATTCCGCACATTTCGGCGCATTTGACAGGAAGATTCTGTATCTGAAATTAAACACATATTTTCCACATCTTTTCCGTGTGCAATTTTTTATAGGGCATAATTAGCACAGGCATGGATCCTTCAATTTTTTTTGACTGCTTCTGATAGAGTAGTGTGATTTGGATGTCTTTTTTCATGAATATTGTGATAATCATCCAGGTTGTATATACAAAGATTATTTTTATTTTCATTAAAATATTTTTTTACTCTTAATGGATGTTCTTCTGCAATTTTCTTTTTATAATTATATACAGTTTTATAAGTAACTGAAACTCCAGCATTACCCGGTGCATCAATTCCATCACAAGATGTTCCTGATCCTATAAGATATAAGGCAAGTTCTAATTTAAAATTATTAGCATGTTTATTCTGGATTCCAGCCATCAAATACAAAATTGTAACAACTTTATTTTTATCTTCCTTTTTATTATATTCTGAACAGTCTTCTGGTATTAATATATTACATACTTCATTGAAAAATCCTTTTAAATTTGAATCATTATCTTTAAGCATTTTATTAAACTCATCAGGATCAAATATAGGACTATCATGCCTCTTATTGTATAATACTGTAGTCACTTTTTTTATTTTATACCAAATGATAAATTTATGTCAGAGGATGTTGAAAATGCTGGTATGATATTTGTTTCAACTGGGTCAATATATTGAATAATTTCTTCTTCTCTTTCTTCTCTTTCTTTAATAGATGGAGGATTTTCAACAATAGCATGTAACAGGGAAAACAAACTTGTTGACCTTGTTGTAAATAAGAAAATCTTCAAAGATATCCTTTAGTAGTTGCTTTTTCTATAGCTCTATCAGATAAACATCTAAAATTGTTAGAATTTTTATAACAATTATGAATAGAGCAAGGACCATTTAACTTTGACTTTGGCATTTTTGAAAAAATTTACTTTTTAAAAAATGGGGATTTAAGTTTTTTAGAAAAAGAATCTGATTTTATTTCATGTATTAATTTTTTTTTAAAAAGCTTCATTTAAGCATTTAATATCAACAAAAAACAATCTGATGTTTTTTAAATAAACCATTCATTTCAAAAAAAATAATATAAGCACAATATGATTTTTTTTTTATTTTCCCATTACCCTATTTTTGCCAATTAAATCAATGGCATTCATTCATTTACTCAACAAAATGTTAACAAAATCATTGTTAAAAAGCAATATCCATGTTTCCATTAACTGTTAAAATCTATTCAATATTTTGTTGGATAAAATAAAATACAATTTAACCAACCACGATATTGAAGATCATCAGCCAATCAAATGGATATTCAACCATGCTGACGTGACCAATTATAAATAAACCCGATTTTGTGGTACAAAAAAATTTATGGAAAATTTCTATGAGAAGGAGTATCAATACCATCAATATGACGATGATGACAATGGTATTGTTGTTGATGATAATTTTACAAATGAACTAATAAACATTCCGATAGTTCATTGGCTTCAAGTTCCAATGATTTAAGCAGTGGTTCCAGAAGACCTTTAAAAAAACAAATCGTAACGCATGATTTTGTGTGGAATTATTTTGAAAAAGTGAAAGATCCAAATGGAAATGAATTCGTAATTTGTAAATTGTAATAATAATGAAATATTAATATTAAAAAAAAAATAATTAGTCGACTAATTAGTGGACTAGTAGTCGTCGACTAAGGACCTATAAATGAGTTTCATGCTAGCCATTTGTCTAGACAAATATCCATGACACATTACGCCAGTAATATTTAAGCACTATTGATTCCCGAAATTCTTGGTAATACCAATCAATCAATGCATATTTAAAAAATATTTTTTTCTTTCAAAGTTTCAAATAAAATATACTACTATTTCATTCATTAATACATACATAGATATTTTGTTTATTTAAAAAATCATGTCTGTCAACAAAGCAAAAGATTTATCAGTAAACTTGGAATCCAAAACAATACGAGTAGTGTTCATAGCTTTATTGCTTGATATTTTGGCTTTTACAATAATTTTACCACTTTTTCCTAGGTTATTAGAAGACTATCGTGAAAGAGAAAAAGGTGATGAGGTAAAGTTCCAAAATTAGTCGATGTTTATTTATCTTTTCACATATACATAATTCCATACACATTATTTATTTTAAATATTTTTATGTTTTAGACAACATTGTTAAGCTGGTTTCTTAATCAAATATCCATATTCAAAGAAGCGATAGGTGGAAGCGTTGGTAATAATCCTAAATGGGATTTGGTGCTGCTTGGAGGTGCTTTAGGTTCACTGTATTCATTTTTACAGTTCGTTGCTTCACCATTTATTGGAGTATTTTCAGATCGTCATGGTCGTCGAAAAACTTTATTGCTTACCATGGTTAGTGATAGTAATAATAATAAATAATAATAATAATAATAAAATAATAATAATAATTAATAATAATTAATATTAACAATTGATTTAATAAAATAAAATATTTATTAGATTGGCAATATACTATCTACAGTTATATGGCTTTTTGCAAAATCATTTGGATTATTTGTATTGGCACGTGTAATTGGTGGATTAAGCGAAGGAAATGTCCAGTTATCAATAGCTATAGTTTCAGATGTTACAACTCATAATTCCAGATCAAAAGGTTTGGTCAGTATATATTTAGTGATTGTTATTATAGATTAATAATAACAATAATAAAATATTGATATTCTTAATATTAATATTAGGCTTTCGTAGGAATAGCTTTTGCAATTTCATTCACATTAGGACCTGCGATCGGTGCTTACTTTGCATCAATAGATTTAACCCACTCCTTTCCAACGCTTGTTGATTGGGGCTTAAATCCTTACTCAACACCAGCATTTGTAGCATTATTACTTTTAATCATTGAAACATTATATTTATATCTATTATTACCAGAGACTGCAAATATCAAACCAAATAAGAAAAAAGATATTAAAAAAGAGATAAATAATTTAACAAGCAAAGATGATCAAAAAATATTAGTTTCAAAAAAGCTCGAAAATTTAAAAATTCTCAATTGGATACATTTTCTTTATTTATTTTCCTTTTCAGGAATGGAATTCACCCTTACATTCTTGACGTATGATTTATTTGATTTTTCAAATATGCAAAATGGCATGTTATTAGGCTATACCGGTATCCTATCAGCGATCATACAAGGTGGATATGTAAGAAGGAAAGCTAATAAAATTGGTGAAAAAAATATAGTAATACAAGGCATTACTTCAAGTGCAATTGCATTGGGAATCATTTCCCTGTTAACAAAAATCAATAATGCCATCATTTGGCTTTACATTGGTGCTACTTTTCTTGCATTTACTTCAGCAACAGTAGTTAATTGTTTAACATCTTTAGCATCAATGCAATGTGATGGTGATGAAAATGACGATGATGGACTTACTATTACTTCCTCAACCAAAGAAAAATCTGAAATTATAAAAATACCAAAAGGCGAGGCTTTGGGCAGATTTAGATCATCGGGTCAATTAGGAAGGTCATCAGGTCCAATTGCTGCATGTAGTTTATATTGGATGGCCGGTTCTGAAATCTGTTATGCAACTGGATCGTTGGCAATGATTATAATAATAATAATTATGATTATTAAAATACCTTCTAATATTTCTATAAAACAAAAGGCACAATAAAATACTCACCCAAATAAATATCACTCGTAATTTTATAAAAAAAAAATTTTTTTTGCTTTTTTTTATGATCATCATTTGAATAATAATGATTCTTTTGAACCGTAATAGTAATCCTTAAAAATCAACGACAAAGCATGAAGTCACGTGCAATTTTAATATTAACGAAACATAAAAAATAAGTCATGTTACAGTATTAAATAAAAAGAACATCATATAATAAAATTAAAACAGATATTGTAATAATAAGTTATAGATGTTGATATTTTGCATATTTCCAATATCCTTGATTCCATCTGACAATTACATAAGGAAGAAGAAGTGATTTTACAAACCAAGGCATTTTACTATAAAGCATGATATCTCTATCTTCTTGAGGCAAGTGTAAGAGTATAAATGGGAGAATAGTAGTTAACCCGCCATCTTTTCTAACTGCATCTTTGATTTGTTTTTGAATTTTTTCAAGTTCTTGCTCTGTAAAATTTTTTCGCAAAGCTTCAACTGAAAAGGTGACTTCTTCGTTTTTTAAATGAGGAAGAATGAGTTTACTTATTTTCGTCATCAAGTCCACTATTTTTGATGGTTCATAAGTCGTTTTCTTATTTTTAACTTCTGAAGTGTAGTTGGACAAGCTATGGAGAAATTTATTGAGTTGTTTGTGTTCTTCAACAAAGTCGCCGATAGGTATTTTTTTGGATACTGAGGGAAAGACTATGTGTTCCTCGTGATGATGATGACTCGTGAAAAGAGAATTGAATGTTTCGATGTATCCTATAAAATTGTCAACATCAGAGGTGGGTCAATTTTATAAGTAACTGAAATTCCAGCATTACCCAGTGCATCAATTCCATCACAAGATGTTCCTGATCCTATAAGATATAAGGCAAGTTCTAATTTAAAATTATTAGCATGTTTATTCTGGATTCCAGCCATCAAATACAAAATTGTAACAACTTTATTTTTATCTTCCTTTTTATTATATTCTGAACAGTCTTCTGGTATTAATATATTACATACTTCATTGAAAAATCCTTTTAAATTTGAATCATTATCTTTAAGCATTTTATTAAACTCATCAGGATCAAATATAGGACTATCATGCCTCTTATTGTATAATACTGTAGTCACTTTTTTTATTTTATACCAAATGATAAATTTATGTCAGAGGATGTTGAAAATGCTGGTATGATATTTGTTTCAACTGGGTCAATATATTGAATAATTTCTTCTTCTCTTTCTTCTCTTTCTTTAATAGATGGAGGATTTTCAACAATAGCATGTAACAGGGAAAACAAACTTGTTGACCTTGTTGTAAATAAGAAAATCTTCAAAGATATCCTTTAGTAGTTGCTTTTTCTATAGCTCTATCAGATAAACATCTAAAATTGTTAGAATTTTTATAACAATTATGAATAGAGCAAGGACCATTTAACTTTGACTTTGGCATTTTTGAAAAAATTTACTTTTTAAAAAATGGGGATTTAAGTTTTTTAGAAAAAGAATCTGATTTTATTTCATGTATTAATTTTTTTTTAAAAAGCTTCATTTAAGCATTTAATATCAACAAAAAACAATCTGATGTTTTTTAAATAAACCATTCATTTCAAAAAAAATAATATAAGCACAATATGATTTTTTTTTTATTTTCCCATTACCCTATTTTTGCCAATTAAATCAATGGCATTCATTCATTTACTCAACAAAATGTTAACAAAATCATTGTTAAAAAGCAATATCCATGTTTCCATTAACTGTTAAAATCTATTCAATATTTTGTTGGATAAAATAAAATACAATTTAACCAACCACGATATTGAAGATCATCAGCCAATCAAATGGATATTCAACCATGCTGACGTGACCAATTATAAATAAACCCGATTTTGTGGTACAAAAAAATTTATGGAAAATTTCTATGAGAAGGAGTATCAATACCATCAATATGACGATGATGACAATGGTATTGTTGTTGATGATAATTTTACAAATGAACTAATAAACATTCCGATAGTTCATTGGCTTCAAGTTCCAATGATTTAAGCAGTGGTTCCAGAAGACCTTTAAAAAAACAAATCGTAACGCATGATTTTGTGTGGAATTATTTTGAAAAAGTGAAAGATCCAAATGGAAATGAATTCGTAATTTGTAAATTGTAATAATAATGAAATATTAATATTAAAAAAAAAATAATTAGTCGACTAATTAGTGGACTAGTAGTCGTCGACTAAGGACCTATAAATGAGTTTCATGCTAGCCATTTGTCTAGACAAATATCCATGACACATTACGCCAGTAATATTTAAGCACTATTGATTCCCGAAATTCTTGGTAATACCAATCAATCAATGCATATTTAAAAAATATTTTTTTCTTTCAAAGTTTCAAATAAAATATACTACTATTTCATTCATTAATACATACATAGATATTTTGTTTATTTAAAAAATCATGTCTGTCAACAAAGCAAAAGATTTATCAGTAAACTTGGAATCCAAAACAATACGAGTAGTGTTCATAGCTTTATTGCTTGATATTTTGGCTTTTACAATAATTTTACCACTTTTTCCTAGGTTATTAGAAGACTATCGTGAAAGAGAAAAAGGTGATGAGGTAAAGTTCCAAAATTAGTCGATGTTTATTTATCTTTTCACATATACATAATTCCATACACATTATTTATTTTAAATATTTTTATGTTTTAGACAACATTGTTAAGCTGGTTTCTTAATCAAATATCCATATTCAAAGAAGCGATAGGTGGAAGCGTTGGTAATAATCCTAAATGGGATTTGGTGCTGCTTGGAGGTGCTTTAGGTTCACTGTATTCATTTTTACAGTTCGTTGCTTCACCATTTATTGGAGTATTTTCAGATCGTCATGGTCGTCGAAAAACTTTATTGCTTACCATGGTTAGTGATAGTAATAATAATAAATAATAATAATAATAATAAAATAATAATAATAATTAATAATAATTAATATTAACAATTGATTTAATAAAATAAAATATTTATTAGATTGGCAATATACTATCTACAGTTATATGGCTTTTTGCAAAATCATTTGGATTATTTGTATTGGCACGTGTAATTGGTGGATTAAGCGAAGGAAATGTCCAGTTATCAATAGCTATAGTTTCAGATGTTACAACTCATAATTCCAGATCAAAAGGTTTGGTCAGTATATATTTAGTGATTGTTATTATAGATTAATAATAACAATAATAAAATATTGATATTCTTAATATTAATATTAGGCTTTCGTAGGAATAGCTTTTGCAATTTCATTCACATTAGGACCTGCGATCGGTGCTTACTTTGCATCAATAGATTTAACCCACTCCTTTCCAACGCTTGTTGATTGGGGCTTAAATCCTTACTCAACACCAGCATTTGTAGCATTATTACTTTTAATCATTGAAACATTATATTTATATCTATTATTACCAGAGACTGCAAATATCAAACCAAATAAGAAAAAAGATATTAAAAAAGAGATAAATAATTTAACAAGCAAAGATGATCAAAAAATATTAGTTTCAAAAAAGCTCGAAAATTTAAAAATTCTCAATTGGATACATTTTCTTTATTTATTTTCCTTTTCAGGAATGGAATTCACCCTTACATTCTTGACGTATGATTTATTTGATTTTTCAAATATGCAAAATGGCATGTTATTAGGCTATACCGGTATCCTATCAGCGATCATACAAGGTGGATATGTAAGAAGGAAAGCTAATAAAATTGGTGAAAAAAATATAGTAATACAAGGCATTACTTCAAGTGCAATTGCATTGGGAATCATTTCCCTGTTAACAAAAATCAATAATGCCATCATTTGGCTTTACATTGGTGCTACTTTTCTTGCATTTACTTCAGCAACAGTAGTTAATTGTTTAACATCTTTAGCATCAATGCAATGTGATGGTGATGAAAATGACGATGATGGACTTACTATTACTTCCTCAACCAAAGAAAAATCTGAAATTATAAAAATACCAAAAGGCGAGGCTTTGGGCAGATTTAGATCATCGGGTCAATTAGGAAGGTCATCAGGTCCAATTGCTGCATGTAGTTTATATTGGATGGCCGGTTCTGAAATCTGTTATGCAACTGGATCGTTGGCAATGATTATAATAATAATAATTATGATTATTAAAATACCTTCTAATATTTCTATAAAACAAAAGGCACAATAAAATACTCACCCAAATAAATATCACTCGTAATTTTATAAAAAAAAAATTTTTTTTGCTTTTTTTTATGATCATCATTTGAATAATAATGATTCTTTTGAACCGTAATAGTAATCCTTAAAAATCAACGACAAAGCATGAAGTCACGTGCAATTTTAATATTAACGAAACATAAAAAATAAGTCATGTTACAGTATTAAATAAAAAGAACATCATATAATAAAATTAAAACAGATATTGTAATAATAAGTTATAGATGTTGATATTTTGCATATTTCCAATATCCTTGATTCCATCTGACAATTACATAAGGAAGAAGAAGTGATTTTACAAACCAAGGCATTTTACTATAAAGCATGATATCTCTATCTTCTTGAGGCAAGTGTAAGAGTATAAATGGGAGAATAGTAGTTAACCCGCCATCTTTTCTAACTGCATCTTTGATTTGTTTTTGAATTTTTTCAAGTTCTTGCTCTGTAAAATTTTTTCGCAAAGCTTCAACTGAAAAGGTGACTTCTTCGTTTTTTAAATGAGGAAGAATGAGTTTACTTATTTTCGTCATCAAGTCCACTATTTTTGATGGTTCATAAGTCGTTTTCTTATTTTTAACTTCTGAAGTGTAGTTGGACAAGCTATGGAGAAATTTATTGAGTTGTTTGTGTTCTTCAACAAAGTCGCCGATAGGTATTTTTTTGGATACTGAGGGAAAGACTATGTGTTCCTCGTGATGATGATGACTCGTGAAAAGAGAATTGAATGTTTCGATGTATCCTATAAAATTGTCAACATCAGAGGTGGGTACTTTTGGAGCATTCTAAAGAAATAATGCATTTTATAAAATTTTTAGATATTTTTTTGTTGTCAAGAATCCATATTTTTTTTCGGCACATGTTACCTCTAAAATTTGAACCATCCCCGCTCGAAGTGTATCATGAATTTTAATCATTCCATAAGTAAAATTTTCGAAAACGTCAGCAGATTCATTAGGTGCCATGATGTTTTTTTATTTGAAATATATAGATTTTTTTTTGTAAGTGACGATGGTAAATTCAAAAAATGAATTTGGTGTCCGAGGTTTTTTATAGCATATTGAATTAAATATTTTTTTACTTATATATCGTATTTTATTTGCATAATAAATAATAAATAAAGTCATTCGACTTTCATTAGCTATCACTACTTACTACACAAAGACTAATTGGTAACATGGTAATAATTTTAATAAGAATAGATGACCTTTTTAAAATAAACAAATAACAAATATTTATTATTGTGATAATATTTTCATAATAATTAATAATAGTAATAATTTCGTCCGATCCTTTCAACACCTTTTTCTTTACTATTAGTACTAGAATCTGATAGAAATAAAACCTAAATTAACGATCAACGATTAATAAATTTCAATGAATTAATGCTGCCGATTTCCCAGACTCCATTGTTATTTATTAAATGATTATTGTACGATAATGATGATGAATAATAATAATACATGAAGTTGAGAAAACTATAGCGTTATTTATACATGTTAAAGGTTCTATCATCTAGTTTTCTGATTTTTTTGAAATGCTAATTTGTTCTAATTAAATTCAAGTTATTTCTAAAGTGATCAAACCATTTAAATTCCTTCGTTTAAATTTAATCTGATAATTAAAGGTCTGTTACATTTTAGTATGCTGGAATGTTTATTTCTCCGTTGTTTGAGATATTTTCCATGAGTCAATTATTCTATTGGTATTAATTTATTACAGTGATCAGTTTTTCCGATTTTCTTTTCGTAAAATTACTATTTTATGCATTTCAAAAAAGAAAAAGGATATTTATTATAAAAATGGTAGAACTGAAAATGTGGATAACAATTAAAGCAATGGAGTAAAAAATGTGGATACAAAGTGGAACTAATACTATCAATAAGATGCAAATATACCCATCAAGCAGAAAGATTGATGAGCAACAAGGTCTTGTAAAGCTTATGTGATAAATATTTTTACTTGCACAAGTAGAGTCAGGTGTATGGACAGATGATTGTGAGAAGGAGAAGGATATATTTATGGAATTTTAGGGAAATAACTTCATCATCATCATTCTCTCGATTCTCTTCATCCAACATCCCAACATCCCCAATATCATTCTCATCCTCATCCTCAACTTGTACTGAATAAGTCATTCAGAATGTGCTTGAGCTGCAACTATGACCAAAATTCTAAAAGACAAAAGTAGCTGTTTAGTCATCAAGATTCTCATTCTTAATTCAAAAGCAAAGACCACCAGTTGTAAACCTTTACTAAGAAAAAAAGACTTTATAAAAGTGCAAAAAATCAAAACAACATATTTCTCAGGCAGGAATACACTCCTTTTAAAAGTTACAAGTGATCAAAAAGAGATCAGTTTTGAATGGTATTATAGATTCTTCTTCTGATTCAAGTTCAAATAACAAAAGCAATAAGTCCAATGATGTGAATCTGAAGATAAACTCAATGTAGGTGGTGAATTTGATGTAGGCAGTGAACCTGATGTAGATAATGAACCTGGTATAGTTAGTGTACATGGTGGAGTCAAAAAAAATTATTATTAGGAATTAACTTATTTTGGTATTATATTTAAAAAAATTGGGATAAAAATTTTAGTCAATTTCAATCTGTTCTTCATTTACTCAAAAATAAAAGAACATTCAATTATATTACAAACAATATTGATCATAAAGATGAAAGAGATTCTAAAAAAGTTATTATCAAAAATTACTATAGAAAATTAAACAGTATTATTATTATTGTATATTGTATATTAGTTAATTGCAATTTTATTAAAATTATAATTTAAATTCTTACATTGCGCAATATGTTATGGTATGTGCCTCTGTCATAATCTATAATTTTAACAAAGCTCATTCAATAATGCCTAGGCAATTCAATTGATCTGTACATTATGGATTTAAAGTTATGATGGTATTTATGGATCTTTTGAATTTTTGAAAGCAAATAGGGCTTCATTTCCATTACTGGGTCTAACTGCTTTGCACTTCATGTCACTAAGGATATACAATTAATTATATTTTTAACAAAAAAATAATTTGGTAAAAGTATGGTACCTATATTTTGTTGGGGTGGATACTGATTGGGACACCGATTAGGAATTAGAATGTGTCATTTGAGAAAAATTTGATTGCTTTTGCTCCATTGTTTCCAATTGCAGGATGAAAACAACTGTTATAAATATTATTTTCTTGTAAATATTTTATTTTTCTATTAATTTTCTTATTTTATAAATATTATTATTTTCTTTGAGAAAATTAAAGGTTATTATTCTTGAATTCTGGAAATTCGATTATTTATTACAATATTTTCTAATTCTTTATAGATGTTAATCATATCCTTATAGATATCAGTATATTCAATTCTAGGTTTCGCAACACTAACAAAAGAATTAATTTCCAACTTTTCATCTTCAAAATCATTCTCAAGTTGAATGCCATCTTTGCTTTCATAGCAGCCCCCATAGAAGCTGCGTTGATATTGTTATTATCGTTACAATTATGATGATGCTTTTTTTTCCAAATCTCTTTGCCAAAAACATCTGATAACACTTGTAAAATTTCATAATTTTTACTTGCTCCTCCCACAACAACTACTTTATTGACCGAGTTTTCAAAATCATTAATCAGTTTCTTGATTCTGATCCTCATTGAAATAAACTGTGACTCGATGATACACCTAACATTATCAAGCTTAGGATCGTCTTGAAACTCATCAATCAGCTGGCTATCTTCAAATCTATAAATCCCTTTTGCAAACGGTATGATCTCCTGCACTAAAAAATAAAATCCCATTTTTCTTTTGTTCGGTTTCGAGGTTTTCAACAATTGATTGAATAGTGTCCATGCTGATGACAACAAGGAGGGATCATTGCTGTCTTTCTTATTGTTGTTGTATATTTATCACGAATGTACTCACATGTTAAACTTCCATTCTTATAGCATATCATTGACATATAAGCTGATGGATTTGTTGGATGACATAGTGTGTGTGATTCAATTGTTGGTGATGGTTTAGTTGTGTACAATAAAATTGTATCTGATGTTCCTAATGATATTAATATATCTCCAGGAGTAAGATTCATAGATATAAGAGTGGCTGGATTATCACCTGTAAATGGAATGATTCTACAATCTATTTTTTTTTTAAAAAAAAATAATCACTCACATCAAATGCATACATGTTTATATATATATATATATATGTATGTATGCATGTATGTATATATATATATATATCATACCTTTATCAAATCCATATTTTTTTACAAAATAATTGGAAACATTTCCCAAAATTTTTAATCCATTAGGTTCAGGCTCGCCAAGTTTCAATTTTTAATTTTTCCCCATCACCATTTCCACAGATTTTTAATAATTCATCATTCCATTGTTTATTGTTTATATCAAGCAAGTTCATTCCTGATCCGTCAGCTATATCAATTGGTGCAAATCTACCAAGGAATATCGAGGCAAGGAATGAGCTAATTAAAGATATTCTTTTGGTTTTTGAATATGCCAAAGGATTTGTTTGGCTAAACTAAAATAAAAATTTACATTATTATACAAGTTAATTTTATTTTTTGATTTATTTTTTTTTTTTTTAAAAAAAAAAGCGAGTATACTTTGGTAATTTGATTTCCTGTGAATCTTTCATAAGCTATTGATCCTGATAAATTCACCAAAATTTCTTTACCACCAATTAATTTTTCTAAATTCTTACATTGTTCTGTGGTACTTGAATCTTGCCAAGTTGGTGAATCTGGTATAGAAAAGGCATTTATAAATTGTGAAACCAAAATTTCAGTTGGATTCAAATTTTCTAAAATTCCCAAAGAATTTTCTGACCAATAAACACTTCCATGTTGCTAATAATTTTAATTATAAAATATTTTTTTGTTAGAGGAATGAAAATAAATAGACAATTGATTGATTAAAAAGGAGTGAGAAGGAAGGGATCTTACTCACTTGAGCAGCTCCAGACATTGCTTTTATTTGATGAAATGGAAATTTTTTTTCAGATAGTTTATTCAACAATAAATCAATTGATTCAATCCACATTAATGTAGGGCAAATAACAACATTCTCATTTGATATTACACCATTTTTTGTTCTAAAAGAAAATTAATAATAACTGATAATCATTATGGTTTATTTTTATAAAAATTAATCAATTTATACAATAATGATAGTATGATAATAACCCATAACTTGGTAATTCTTTATCAAAATTAACTAATTCTTCAAATACCACTTTGCCGATTTCATTGATTGCTGTGAATTTTAATTGTTGTGTTGATAAATCAAAACCTGCAAATAAATTTGAATTATTAAACATTTCATTTTATTTAAAAAAATTTATTTTGATTGGCCAAGAATATTATGTATAATGTGGCTTAGAAAAATAATCAGAATTGAAAGGCATGCGGGAAAGCAGAAAGGTTAAATGGCGCCTGGGGTTTTTTCTTTAGGTTTTGTTATATGGAGGATAAAAAATATGATTAAATGATTAAATGTTTGATTTTAATATGATTAAATGATTAAATGTTTGATTTTAATTATTAAGTAATAATATTATATTAAATATCTAAATAATGATAATTCTATATGTAAAAGAATAATATTTTTTATCTATTTAAATTAAATTAAATTAAATAATATAAGTTAAAAAGAATATAATTATTTTTAAAAAATATACAGTATTACAAATCTTTTATATGATATTTCCCCTTGAAAAAGGGGAAAAAGAATGGAATGTATGTATGCATGTGTTTGTGCCAAAAAATCTTATCATTATATTGGTGCAAAGATGATATCATTTTCAGGGTATTTGTAGTATTTGTGCCTCTAATGAATCTGTATATCTTGTTCTTGTTCCTGACGTAGTTGATCTTGATGTATTTGTAGATCTTGTTCTTGGTCCTGATGTATTAATTGGTCTTGGTTTAGATCTTGGTGCATCGGTTGGTCTTGATCTTGTTCTTGATGCAATGGTAGTTGTAGTTGTTTTTGTAATTGATCTCTAGCCTCTCTAGTGCTATTCATTATATTCATAAATATATCTATGTATTTTTTAGGTCCCATTTTAATTTCTACAGCATTGGTCATATTTCTATCCTCTGCGAACATCTTCATCATTGCTTTGATATCCCTTTGAAGCTTCCTAGATTTTGATCCAGCTATATCTTTCTCACTTGGATCAACACAAAGTAAATCATATGGATTATAGGCAGGATCTGGAGTATCAATGGGTGGGCAATCAGAAATTTTACTTTGAAATTCATGACCACGCAATATTATTCTATGAAATGTTGTCAAATTTCCCCATAAATCCAATACAGGCAGATCATTATAATTCGCTAAAGCCTCACCAGGAAGTTCTTTGAATATGACATTTTCAGTCATCAGTGGTACACCAAATATTGATAGTGGATCATGTTTACCTTCTCTAAAACGAATGTGAGTATCATCATATTCAGCAAGATTTGTTGAAAACTGGTGAAATTACTAAAATTTGGATATAACATTACATAACCTCGGAGATATACAAGTTCAATAAAAAACTGTTTCCATGAATTTTTCCAATTATTGGAACGACTATGAGGAATACTAATGGGTTGAACTTTAAAATTATTATTATCATCCTCCAAGCGATCAATAAGATAATGGTGAAATTCATACCAAATCTCTGGAAAGTAAACACCGCCCCAATCACTAGGTGCCTGACAAAGATAAGGTGACCGAACATCATATTTTGTGTTGTTGAATACTTGTTCAGGATAAAATTTTTTATGACCAGAGAGTGTAAGTTCCATGTGTTTTGGACTGTATAAACTGATACCATACATCCTTTTACTGTGTATCTTATCAGGACCATACTTATACTTTAAAACAATATATTTTGACCAGATATAATAAAAAGGTGATAATTCAGTATCATCCTCTAGCAAAACTGCATAATCATGATCATTGTATGGGTAATATGCTTCGACTACAGCAGGCAACAAACCACCTTGACCTACTCTACGTCTGATTTTTTTGAACCATGGTCCCAATTAAATTTATCAGCTAGTTTAACAATATGTGGACTCACACCTTTATCCATATTAATTGTCAAAGGAATTTCATCACCAAAGTATATAGATGAATTCAATGATTCTAAAAGTCTATTAAAAGAATTAGGTCAATTCTGAGTAAGTATTTGTAATTGAAACTTTGGTAAATTCCAACCTTCATAAATAATTATAATAAAATAAAAATCAATATTATTATTATAAAAATAAATATAAAATAATAATATTAATATATCATGTATAATGGAATACTGACTTTTTAATGCTTCAAAGGACAAATCAGCCATAATATCTACAGCATGAACTATTTCATCTAAAGGTAATTGTATTGTAGTAATATTTTTAAATCCATCAGCAGCAATAGTTATTCCATGAATTGCATCACTATCTTCAATCTTTGGATATATTACAACTTCTGGTTTGAAATAATGTAGCATACGATTAACACCATAAAGCATTCTGCTCTTTAGGTTTATCTCATCTTGAGTAGGGAAGCTATTTTGAAATTCAGCTTGAATGCTTAAATCATAGATTTCAACATTACAATCTGACGAATACTTGATGAATCCTTTCATATTTGAATCGGAGGATTCTTGTGAAAAGTCAGCGAATAATACATTGACCAAGTTATCCTTAATCATGGATAATTTACAAAATAATGGCCTAAATGTTTTCCCCTGATCATAACTATCAACCACAAATAGAATCTTATTCAACTGGGAATTCATTAACAATTTTTCCTTGAAAACTAGAGGATAGCCACGTTCAATGTAATAATTCCATGATTCATCAGTATCAAAATTTGATTTAAGGTCTTTGCATTTCTTTTGTTGTATTAAATTTCTATCACCCCAAGAATCTTCATCATCATGGTTAGTTGGTAGGATGTAAGAAGGAATGTTTGCATGATATTTGAGTGAAAAAGAAAAAAAAAAGCCAAAAGGAATTTTTACAGATTCCATATTATTTTCCTGGAACAATATGTGAATCCATTGTTTCTTGAATAGCCATATATTAGTTAACATGTCAACTTTTTGAGACAGGTTGATTGATTCAAGATCATCAGGCCATGATTCATGATCAGCAAAACATACTAGGGATTGTTTATTATCTGATCTGTCATCCACTTCAATATAAGCACCCGTGGTTCCTAAAATAGCATTGTGATACTCTTTTGTATTTGCAGTGTGAACCATGTTTTGAATAAATTTTTTACCCAGTACCACTTCAGAATCCAAAAAAAGAATGTGTGAAGTTTTTACAGCTTGTGCAACTTCTAACCAGTGTTGTGCAAATGGAACATTGTAACCATATCCACCGATTTTTGCAACATTTTAGGGCACATTTATAAAAATTTCTAAGGGGTTACTATATAGAATTAGAAGC